TCTTTCAGCTCATTTGAAAATTGCAAGCAGGTGTGTTGGAAATAATTCTGCAGGAAAGTAGATCACCGCTGTTGTAGGAGCTCCAATTATACAAAGGCCAAACACTTGGGAGGAAACACCAACATGGAAACTGGTGTGTCCTCAATCCGATGTCTAAACAACACCTCCATACATTATATACCTATCACCCCCATGACAGTATAATATAAATAAAAAATGCCCCCCAGATGCCTCCACGACAGCAGCAGTTGCACAGCACCAATTAGGGTGACAGTTACTGAAATCTTTGCCTACACGTCAAGGATGTCAGCTGACTGGTTAATGCATTTCCAGAGATATCATCTAATATCAGATACTGCATTACCCTTAAATGTTTTTTTTTTGTGTGTTAAGACGTTATTCCTGCCCATTTTGGGGTTAAAAATGCAAGTACAGTTCAGTGCTGATATTGTTAGCTAACTACTAAATATTGCTTTTGTTCATTGAAACTGGAATGAATGAACGAATGGAAATTCAAAAAATTTTAATTATTGTCTTGGCAAATGAAATATGTTTAAGTACTAAAATTACAATAACTAAAACTGAAAAAAAGCTAAATATATACTGCATATTAAACAAAAGAAAACAAATGTACATTAAAAATACTATAAATTAAAAATTAAAAATATTTATAAATAATGTAATACCAATAATATTACTAAAACAATACTGGTACAGTACCACAACAAATAAATAAACAAACAAACAAATAAATAAATTCTTTATGTAGGAGAGTGTAAAACTGTGGGTTTTATGATAGCACACACCTGTTGAAGAACAAATATGAGCTAACAGTCCTGACTAAGATTTGTAGAACAATGGAATCACTACATGGCAAATATCACATGTTGACTCAGAGGCCTTTTGTACAGTCATATTCTTCACACAATACACTCAAATCCACCCACAACAAGCAAACAGCTTCAGATCCAAATTAATAATTGGGTGGATAAAACAGCACTTATTTAAATCAGCTCTCAAATCAAATAATCTCAAGAGTGATAACATTTTAGCTGAGAACCGATTCAACAGAAATTAGGAGGGATAATATGGTATTCTGTGTGATAAGAGTGAAGATTTCTGGATGAGTTAAATCATAAATGTATGTGGGTAAACCCTATCAAACCAGAGATCGGAGATATTAGAGTGATGGTAATATGTGGCAATGACTCACAGGACCTATTTCACAGCGAACAAAGAAAAAGATAATGGAATGGCGGGTCAGCCAATGGGATCTCGCCTAAGACAGAGGGGGGAAAAATGTGTCATTAACTCAGTTAGCACTTGGGAGGAATGGTATGTTTCATTTGCAGCAGACTATGCAGGTGATGTTGAATGATCTCAGGCCAAGAACTTCATCCAGCTATACAGCACAATAAACCTCTTTAACCTTAATGCCCATGTCTGCTGTCCTTACAGTAAGCAAAAAGCATTATCTATGTAACAATGTTACTGTTAAATGGTTAGCTTGGTTACTTCAAATCTCAACTGCAAATGTCGGTTTTCAATTTTCAAATCAAAACCAATGTTACAAACATAATGCCAAATAAGAAGATTAAGGTGTTTACATGAGTTGCTTTTAGAATATTCTTTTCATGTTCCCGTTTTACATGTTATAGTACATAGATCGATTAATGGCACACGTCATTATGTCCCAACGCGATGCCATCCGATGTCCCCTCCAAGATTTCACGTACAGTGGGGCAAAAAAGTATTTAGTCAGCCACCAATTGTGCAAGTTCTCCCACTTAAAAAGATGAGAGAGGCCTGTAATTTTCATCATAGGTATACCTCAACTATGAGAGACAAAATGAGAAAAAAAAATCCAGAAAATCACATTGTAGGATTTTTAAAGAATTAATTGGTAAATTCCTCGGTAAAATAAGTATTTGGTCACCTACAAACAAGCAAGAGTTCTGGCTCTCACAGACCTGTAACTTCTTCCGTCACTTGACAAGCTGGCCATGGAAGCAATAAGGCGATACATTCTAAAATAACGGTCGCCAAAAAAAAAACTCACGCTGGGGGCTCAGCTAGAATATTTTAAACTCACGTGCGAAGGGGTTAATGTGAGCTACATATGAATATTTAAGTCCTTACATTAAAGTTCACACAAACTCTTTTCTTCGCTGCGGCTGTCAGTCATTCGTTCAGCCTTTAAACCCTGGTCGCGTTCGTTCGGTTAACTTACAGCAGTCAGATCGGTAAAGCTCTCGCCAAGATCATTCTGTGTTCCCATTATACTTGATTCGTAAATACATGTCTATGATTTTGCAAAAATGACTTTATCTTCTTGCCGGAATTTAATGTTGGTTTGGTACTTGCTACCGGGTGTCTGTGAGAACACAACTATAAATAGTTTTTAACGTGCACAGTAACTGTAATTTAAAACTGTTAAAAGAAAGGCTCAATAACTGTTGCACATATATAATACACTACGCATCAGTTTCTCTTCACTTTGTGCTTTTCAGTTTTTAACACGAAGCGTTTACAATGTGCGCATCTGGTGTGCAGGCTGTGACGCCAGGTTGCTTCAGGCTTCAAGCGCATCATTCTGCACACCGGATGCGCACATTGTAAGCGCTCCGTGCTCATAGACTGTATAAAAACAGTTCGTGCTGCACTGTATTTGTTTTGTCCTATCATATCTATAATATGTTGTTGCCTTATTAAAAAATATGCTATAGATTTAAAAGAAATGTATTTTAATTTTATAGTATATACTTGTATATAAATACATTCAGGAATGTTTTTAATGAATGGATTTTATAATAATACAAATAGCAATGTGTAACATTTTACCTATTTAGTGCAACACTTTTATTTGTTCCCCACAAAATATTGTTTTTTTTTACTAAATGTTTGGATTTTTTAAATTATTGTGCACTGATTTTTCTAGAATAACTTTTGCTGCCGAATTATCCACTAACCTAGTTTATGATCCATTTTTGTCATAGATTACAAATATACATAGGCCTATATTTTTTCAGATATATTATTTATTTTATTTTTCTTTATAATGAAGTAGTCTGTATCTAGTAGATTGTGAAATAATGATTATCATTTCCACACACAGAGATACAGTGGGTACGGAAAGTATTCAGACCCCCTTAAATTTTTCACTCTTTGTTATATTGCAGCCATTTGCTAAAATCATTTATTAATTTTTTTTCCTCATTAATGTACACACAGCACCCCATATTGACCGAAAAACACAGAATTGTTGACATTTTTGCGGATTTATTAAAAAAGAAAAACTGAAATATCACATGGTCCTAAGTATTCAGACCCTTTGCTGTGACACTCATATATTTAACTCAGGTGCTGTCCATTTCTTCTGATCATCCTTGAGAGGGTTCTACACCTTCATTTGAGTCCAGCTGTGTTTGATTATACTGATTGGACTTGATTAGGAAAGCCACACACCTGTCTATATAAGACCTTACAGCTCACAGTGCATGTCAGAGCAAATGAGAATCATGAGGTCAAAGGAACTGCCTGAAGAGCTCAGAGACAGAATTGTGGCAAGGCACAGATCTGGCCAAGGTTACAAAAAAAATGCTGCTGCACTTAAGGTTCCTAAGAGCACAGTGCCCTCCATAATCCTTAAATGGAAGACATTTGGGACGACCAGAACCCTTCCTAGAGCTGATCAAACTGAGCTATCGGGGGAGAAGAACCTTGGTGAGAGAGGTAAAGAAGAACCCAAAGATCACTGTGGCTGAGCTCCAGAGATGCAGTCGGGAGATGGGAGAAAGTTGTAGAAAGTCAACCATCACTGCAGCCCTCCACCAGTCGGGGCTTTATGGCAGAGTGGCCCGACGGAAGCCTCTCCTCAGTGCAAGACACATGAAAAAACACCTGAAGGACTCCAAGATGGTGAGAAATAAGAGTTAACTCCCGCAAGTGCCACGTTCGGTAAATTCCCACTCACTTATGAGACGTGTGGTCTGCTCTGCCTCGTCTCTCCCTCGCGTAATGGGTTTTTTGTTTATTATTTTACTTTTTTTTATCCATTTTGTACAATCCGCCTTCATTTAGCAAGTGCACTTGCGCATAAACAATTTTCAAGTTCAACACTTTTTGTTCCATTCAGTTGTGGATGCTGCTGATTCACCGAGACCGCACAGCTCAGTACTCACTACTCAATACTCATGAGTACTTTTAAATAGGCTACTCTTTTACTCTTACTCAAGTAGTTTTTTGGACAAGTACTTTTGCTCTACTCACACTACGTTTTTTGGAAGGTAATGGTACTTTTAATTGAGTATATTTTTTCAGTACTCTTTCCACCACTGGTTAACATTCATAGAACACCATGGAAACCTGGGACTGTGCATGAAGCTGTCCTTGAATCTTTAAGCATAAATTAAAAAAAAAAAGTGTCTTGAAAGTGTCCTTGTGCACATCGTTTCCCACACAGATATTATTAAATAAAGAAAGGTGACATAAAAAGGGTGGGGAAAAAGCAACAAATTTACAGAGTTCCGCAATGTTTTCTATAGAACTCATTTCATTGGGTAAAATTCTATCTGAGAAGTGATCTACGAATGTAGGCAAGCTTTTCAAAACACTAGCTTTCGAATGGAAAACAGGCCAAGGCCCCAAGGACACTCCCCCTGAGGATATCTGCTCCGCTCAATCCCTTGAGCCTCAATCCTTTTATTTTCTTCTTATTTTCAGAGTATACAAGGGAGAATTTCAGACTTAAGACAGCGATAAAATCAAAAGAGCTAAATCAAATTGTGGACAATGTTCAAAACATTAAATACAGACCTAAAATGAAATTTTCATTCCTCTCAGTGCACTTTAAACAAGTTTTGGCACACTTAAGTAAATCCAAAGTTCACGCACAGAGTTCACACAGTTCAAACTGTTAGCAAAGTAATGTCGGCTAGCAATTCCAAGAGATTGGATCTGGCATTTACACACACAATATGATAAAAACGTTCTGTATTTACCGTGTCCGTAAGTTTGTTGGACTGGGTTGCCCGTCGTAGACTGAAAGGATGTCAAAGTCCTCCTCTAAGGCAAAGCCTTGAAATACCAACTGTATCCGGTTGTGTTCCTGTGCCACAATCACCCATGTGCAGTTGGCGTAGTTGGGATATCCATACGGGTATCCGGGGCTTTCTATTGTCCCATTTGGACTGTGTAGTGCGTGACTGCAGTTTTGAGCTGTAAAAAGGAGAAAAAGAGAAGAAAGTATTAAACAAAGTGGATGGAAAAACATTTAAATGCATTCAAATGAGAAATCCAGGCAATATCTAAACGCTATTATCGATCTAAAAAATCTTGGAACCAAAATGTGAATTTAATTTATTTATTCCTTATCAGTAAGTAGGTGTAGAACATTTGCAAACAATGCTTTATGATTTACAACCTTCTGACGTGATGAATATGTTAATTTGCCAGTTCGGTCTGTGCCTTTAAAGGATTAATTTACATTCATTAATGTGTTGTTTGATCTGACAGGGCATTAAATCATTTGTAAGTACAATAAAATGCTTCCACATTAAAATCCTTATAATGTCCATGTAATTATGTAAGTGTGTACTCAAGGTGCATATGAATAAGACAAGCTAAAACTACTGTAATATTTATCTATTTTTACGAATGCAAAGTTATAGAGCAGTAATATTAAATTTCAAGAGGCAATTAAATTAACATATGGTCCAGCACATGAATACTGTCAGCTGCCCTTGCTATTGCCACAGCTTTATCAGTGGTCAAAAAGATGTTTCCACGGCAACTCCGCAAAGGCAACAGGAAAAAGGAATGATACCACCCATGGTTATTAATTTGACTAATTTTAATAACTCCATATCGCCTGCAGCTCAGACTGCATTCCTCAGCATTAATTGCATTTCTCTTTTGCATACTTGTCAACGACCTCTTATAAAATATTGCACTCAATCTGAAATTTTAATAACTGTGTGTGGCTCCATCCATCAGTGAAAAGCCTGGCCTAAATGACTAGTTCTGGACAGGTCCGTAGCCCCACTTTTAATTAATAGTCCCTTCTTTCTTTAATAATCATTAATGGTCTCAGATTTTCGCTCTTTTTTTTTTTTTAAGTCTACCCACTCCGGGAAACTTACATATCTGCTACAGCCACACAGGACCTGACAACATGGCCCAAATACTCCCTGCAGTTCATATTTTTAATGGGAGTCTTAAATCAATGTTCAAAAGAAAAGTTCAGAGTACAATTTTGCAACACATTTTAACTTACGATCTTAATATAAAACTGCTACAGTAAGTTAAATGTAAGTTTGAAACAGCAACAGCATTCAATTAAATTGAATGTATAAGAAAATATTAAAATTTTAGGCAAGAATTAAACTTGTTTGCACTGACAAAAAAAAGAAAAAAAATTGCTGCCTGTGGCTAATTTCATTATCTGCTAAATGACTACCGAGCCCTCCCTCTGTGAAGCTAATTTGTATAAATATATTTTTATGAATTTAAAAATAAAATTAAAACTAAATAAACATTAAAAATAAATCATGAATTATTAGACAAACTTACTTGCAAAGGAAATAAATACATGCATACAAAACCAGAAACCAAAACAATGCAAACAGATACATAATCCTACATTTTTATCCATTTATTTGATTCTTAAATGCATTGGAATTTATGTTAGGTTAGGTGATTAAAACAGCATTAGAAATGCCTAATTAGAGGACATCCGTTATCACTAAGGCCCACATTCCATAAAAACAATCCCATCACACCAGCAAACAAATGAGAACCCAGCATGTCTATACAGCACACGTTTGTCTAACACATTTGAGTGGATTACACTTAATGAAAAACCAAGCTCAAACAGCATGTCCCATATGCACAAATATTCAACGCATTTACCAAACGCAAACACAATGTGTCATAAAGTCATATAAAGCATTTAATGCAAAGATGGAGTGTCATTATGCAAGAAAAAAATATATATTATTCAGTATGCACAACCTGTGAAGGTTTTTTTATGGTGTAACTCCTAAGCACAACTGGGATTTGGATTTCTTAAGGCGAAAGTTTTGCCTACTAGCATAGAATTTTAATAATTAAGTGGAAAAACCTGAGGTGCTTTTTTTTATTTTTTTTTTATATAATTTCTCAAACAGCTGGAAAACAGTTGAGTGCTATTCAGATAATCCGCCTTTGGCCAATGGCCATATTCAGTGCAGTTTTTCAAATATTAATGAAACAGACTTCTTAGGATTTGGAGGACGTCTCTCTCTCTCCGTTTAAAAGGCATGGTGTCTGTGATAAATGCCTTCTTGACACAAATTATTTAGGCTAGAAAGTGTCACAAAATAAGATGCTAAACACCGAGAGCTGGGATTCATTTGGGAGCTAAAATGTTTGTGGCTCTTTAAGATTCATTTCAAGCCTGTTTGCTTGTTTCATATTCTAACCATACCAGATTAGCATACAACTTGGAAATGTGCATTTCTGAAAGCTGGAATGTGCAATGGCAGGCAACAATCCATCATTTTTGCACTCTATCCCAGGGGAATGTTCATGTGAGGTTGGCCCAGCATGAACCATTGTGAAAAACACTTGACCTCCGGATACAGACGTCTTTATGGCTCTTTGGGGTTTTACGGCCACAAGTCTTCTCTGTGAAGCACTACAATATTAAGAATGAAACCCAGGTCATTTCAGACCACTGAGCGGAATGCTGGCAAAAAAATGAAGAGATTCATTCAACCTAAAATAAGACTCTCTGTCCAACAAGGAACAAGAACAAAATGTGGACATTCTACATTCAAGCTATTTGTCTTAAATGAACTAAAGCTAACATGAATGGGAGTTTTAAATGAGACACATTCGTCCATTTCTGGCCTTCCAATCAGTAAGTTATTATAGCTGTCGACACAAAACAGCATTTTCTCCCTGCATCTATTGTGAAGACCGAGTAACATTACTCGGATTAGCACAGAACATCCTGATCAATATAGGTTCATGATTTCTTCATTACAAACACTTATCAGGGAACAAAAGTCGATAGATTATTTAATGTTTTATGTAAAATGGGTCACAACACAGAGTAAGAGGCTAATTTTATCCATGGGTGACAACACAGAGACTGCTAACTCTCAACAGCATGATTGCTAACCAACAGTTCAATAAACTACAATTTGATATTAATAACTTACATCTCAGACACAATATTTAAAGTTACTTTGTTTCTGTTCTGCTCCAAAATAGTTCCAAGCTAACTCACCGAGACAAACACATGGCAGGTGTTTCATTTGTGAATGAATCAAACGTTTGAATGAATGATTCAGTGACTCACTCGATTTGTGAATAGGCGTTTTTGGTTTCATAAAAGCATTCTTTTGTTCCAAGGCTAAATTAATAATTTTAGACTAATCGGTTGAGAGATTCACTTGCTCACTCACAAAGACACAAGAATCATTCCAGAATGAATCACTGGTTCAGAAAGAACTCAATTCAGTGACTCCCTCATAAAGAGAGTCACTTGTCTAGCCTAATAATCTGTGCAGTCTAATAATCTAATAATTTGAGTGATTATTCAAAATGAAAGAAAAGCCTTTATGTAGCCTACTGTAAAAATATGTTGTCCGGTAGGCTAAAATGTGCTTGTCCATAAATGTTGGATGTAATATTCTAATGTAAAAAGACAGTTTCGTCATTTATTAAGGTACATAAACAACAGGTGACTCTTCTGCTCACAAATGCAAATACTGGCCTGACTGGAAGTAAGAGAAGAGTGTTGGATGAAGGATGGGGTAGAATTGTGAGCAATCAGCAATGTGTTCTGCATTCATAACACACAGTGTCTCAAGTCCAGAACAAAGGCATTGGCTATGCTTGATCTAATGAAGGTGGAAGTATCATTGACCACATTATAACTTTTCCCCCCACACTTCCAGATACATAGGCCTAGACTAGTGCTGTCAAACGATTAATCACAATTAATCGCATCCAAAATAATTGTTTTTGTGTATAATATATGTGTACTGTGTATATTTATTATGTATATATAAATATACACATACAGTATATATTTTGAAAATATTTGCATGTATATATTTATATAATTTATATTATATATAAATTTATTTATATATAATATACAAATATAACATTCTTTTCTTAAACATATACATGCATGTGTGTGTATTTATATAAACATAATGATTATACACAGTACACACACATATATTATGTAAACAAAAACTGTTTGACAGCACTATTACAGACTATTTAATGATTTAAAAACACAGTTTATAACTTCAATGTTTTCAATTCTAAACCATATGTATGATTGAGAATTTAACACATTGAAGTTATAATTTTCAAACATATAGGCCTACACATATGTTCTTAACTTAACTATTTAAAGATCAAATTCTACTTAATTTCAGATTCCCAAATAAGGGAATATTTGATCATTTTTAGAAAGAAAAAAACGTCTCTAGGTTACATATGTAACCATGGCTCCCCGAGGGAACGAGACGCTGCGTCGAAGTCGCTTTGGGAACGCCCTTGCGTGACCGCGTTCTGAAGCACGTGTCAAATCCGTCCAATGGAGCAGCGAGACGTCACCAGCGGGATGACGCAAACACCAGAAATCATAAAAGCGCATCCAGCAGAGCACAAACCAGCTTCGATGAAGTAGCGCCTGCAGGGATGCAGGGAGTATGGCAAAGAGACGCAGCGTCGGGGGAACCATGGTTACATACGTAACCTAGAGACGTTCCCCTTCAGGAACTCGAGCTGCGTCGAAGTCGCTTTGGGAACGAGAATACCCACTGCGCCATACTACCAAGTCCCTGCCTGTGTGTGTATCTTGCGAGCACATCACGAAGAGAGAACTTGGGAACCTGGGGTAGATGCCAGGTCTAGGTTGCAAAAACGGACAAAAGTGAGCGGAGAGGACCGGCCCGCCGCAGCACAAATGTCCTGCAAGGCCACACCCAAGTTGAAAGCCTTGGAGGCCGCCATACTCCTGGTCGAGTGCGCTCTGACCCCCATAGGTGACGGGAGGCCAAAGGACTCGTAGGCTAGTGAGATGGCCTCGACCACCCACCTACTCATAGTCTGCTTGGTCGCCGGAAATCCCTTCTTTGGCAGACCAAAAACAAACAAAAAGCTGATCTGCCTTACGCCACGGGGCAGCTCTGTGTGCGTAAGCGTCCAGT